TACGATCTATAATAACGTCCAATTTTTCCTGAGTCGAAGTTTGGGATCTTGTGATTCGAAACAGTCTCTAGAAGCCATTGAGTACCAGGGTTGGGACCAATCGTATATTTTATAGGCATTTGTTTCCTATCGATTAACTTTCGATATTTCGATATTGGAGTATTCAAGTATTCGAATATTTGAATATTTAAATCCACGAATATAATACATTTATTAAGAAGCGATGTGTCTGCGTAAAAATAGAGTAAACCAGTGGGCTAACGTGAAGCGAGACCGTGTCCAGCCACAGCGGCTTGGCGCGTTCAGAGTCGGCCATTTTTTAAAATCCCGGCGATGTATCACTTCCAGTCGCGTCGGTCCGCGGACAAAATTTGCTCCGATCGTAAATCAAACGTAATACTCGTAAACTAACGACATTAATATTCGTAAATAGACGTAAATTGTCGGCATTAATATTCCTGGATATCCGTGAAATGACGGCCGTTACAGCTTGTCACAAAACTCGAAACGTAAAAATTCTGATCGTGATTCCAACGTTGCACTCTCAAACTACAAATTTATTCCAAATAATTAACATTAACGTCTCTTAAATAATGTACGAAAACATCGTAAAATGAACGACAGAACTAAAGTTAAAGTCATCAATCGTCCCATAAATATCGAAAAAAATTTGATTCTATCGACTCGATTAGGTCAGCTTGTGACCGCTGGTCCTAGACTTTCTCCCGTCCAGAGTCACCTTCCCACGTTCCTCCGGTCAGCGATATCTTGATAAATCTGACTAATGTTCGCGCGGATGCAACCGGAAGAGATCCTTCGCGCCAGGTTTTTACTCTCTCCCCGTCGTCTAGCGTTCTCGAACGAAAGTTTCTATAAGCCGGGTATCGATCGACCCGGACGATCCTCCGTCGACCATCCGGAAAGACAAAAGAGCCGGGTGTCCGAAGTTCCGGCGCTAATTACCGCCGTGGCGCGATCCCTAGGAGCTTGGGAGCAGAATCAAGAGCGTGGAGGGAGGGTGGATGCACTATTTCGCGGATATTGGAATTAGTTGGCCGTTCGCGCAACGTAGAATCGAGAACGACCTCATTAGGGGGCCGTTTCTTCTAGCAGGTAATTAAACGCGCGAAGGAAAGGAAAAACCTCCGGCCTGGGTGCATCGGTCGCGAAGTAGGGCTTCGCATTAATTGTATCGCGCCTCGTTAGGTCGTCCCAGAACGGGTCGAGGTGTTTCAGGGCAGGTAACAACGACTATAATCCGCCGGAGGGAGCGGCGGGGACAGAAAAAAAAGGAGGAAACCGGGTCCGGAGACCTTGTGCTCATTGCCGCGGACGCGATGGATCGACTCCGGAACACAAGCATCACGTGCCGCCGCGGACCCGCCAAGAGAGAGTTTCGATGATCCTAGAAACGCAGACGCGCGTCGCTCGGGCCTAGTTTTTCGAACGAAACCGGGCTTTCGTTGCTCCCGTCTCGCCTGAAGAGGAATCTGGTAAAGTGGATCGAGCCTGGAACTAGGAATCGCTTTATATAGACGGACGAGAGTGCCCAACGCGATGGAGCGCGTCTACGATTATTGTTTCGCGGAAGTTTTCGATTCTTCCGTGAAAAATGGATCGAAAATGTGGGACAAAGTTTTCTCGTGGAAAGCTTCGTTCGAGAGAAAAAGTAGTATCAAGATCGCGGAGCGTGTGACGTTTTGGGGCACGCGCCCCGCCAAGTTTCGAAGCTGAAATTCTCGAAGAAGAAGTCTCGTAGAAGAAAAACTTACTCTACGGTTTCGATTTGATTTCACACGTAGAATACGGAACGCTGTGTAAAAACGTCAACCTTCGAGGTGTCGGATTTGGTTGCGTGACTTTGGTCGACTGACATAGTTTCCTCTCGATCGCTGATTCATCTTTAACCTTCTAATAAACATGTGTTGTAAATGTGGTATCGGTGTTCTATATATATTGTAAATTTTAACGAATTTTAATAATCTTTGATGCATCTTTGAGCGTTTGAGTTTTCGTAGTCCCGATTGTTTTCTCCCGACAACAATAGTAGATCAGCGAGAAGAGTTCGCCAGAAGGTAGATACGTACGAGCGACAGAAAGCGGTCCGGAGATGCTTCTAGAAACGGGTGACATAGTAACAGGATCCAGTTTTTTCGCAACTCTCGTGAAACCTGGTCGTTCATCGCAGGTCGCGGAACCGGCATTGCGAATCGCAAACTTCTTTCAGAATCGCAATCGTTTCCGGGATGGCCGTATACGCGGACGGTCGAGTTCCGGCTACGCAACTAGAGTCCACGAGACGCTCTCTACCAAAGACTTCTCGAACTTTTCCCTATTCAAATATTCAAACGCTTCGCCATTCGAACACTCGGGTACTTGAATCCACGATTACTCGTATAGTCGAGTGTTTCCATACATTATCATTCGAATATCCACTTGAGGAATAAAGTACTCGTACATACATATTGTAAATAACCAGTTCTATATGCCTCTATATTGATAAAATTATAATTCTAACAGAATCTTTGTCTGTCTGTCTGTTTGTGCATACGGATTAATTCAAAATCTACCGAACCGATTCCGACGAAACCACTTATGGATCACCTTATTTGGATAAATCATTGTCGATCTATCGTATCATCTTCCACCAATTAGAAATCCCCCGCGTTAGCGCGAAGACGGATTTAAAGATGGCTGTTGCGACTCCAGCGCCGCCAGCGTATCTGATCAACGATAAACTTCGCGGTGAAATTTCGAGTCGCTCGAACAACAGAGAAATTGCTTTGCCAACCTTCCGAGCGATATTCAGCTATTTTTACCAACGATTAAACGAGCTCCAGGCCAACCCGCTGGTTCCAATTACTCCGGTTGCCGCGGCGAAATTATAAACGGGGTTTTAAAACATTCAAGCACACTCTTAATCATCGTTTAATCGCGGACTCGCGCCACTCATGAATTATTGAACGCGGAATTTAGAAATTTATGTACCGCCAGCCCGTACAGCGGTTCCGAGTTTCGGATTTGTTTTCTTTTAATCGAGCACACGGATTCGCGAGACGCTTTCTTTGACGGCGCCGTTTCCCAAAATCTCTTTAACCACGGTTGGACGAATCACCTGACCCGTTCCATAACTTCTTTTTCAAACGTGCAAACTTTCAAAAACTATTGAGAATTAATTTTAGAGAAAAATATATCCCAGAAAACTTACGTTAATTACAGAAATGGCCGTAGATTCCTGGCCACGGTCGTTAATGACAGATAGTCCGTTCACCTGTCAGGTTCGAAAGAAAGTCGGAGAGGAGACGAGTCGATGGAAAGTAATAAAAATTCCTGTCATTATTTATGGACACTTCCGCGAGCGGGTTGCTCGATCGCTCCGATCCACGGCGCGATCGATAACTCGGAAACGCAACGGGGGATCCGTGGATCGCGGGGCAATAATACGTGGAAAGTGCACTCGTTTCGTTCGAGTTCACTCGAAACCCAGCTCTTATGACGTTTCGTCGCGCAATGCTAGCGAGATCTATCGCGGCTATCGTCCGTTTCCTGTCCAACTATTCGCGGAAAACTTCGACGCCGTTCCGTATCGCGTCACGGCGAAATTTTCGCGACCTGGAAGGCCTGGACTCGTCATCGTTCGCGAACACATTGTTGGGCAAGTTGTCGCGAAACTTCGCTATAATTACGGAACGATATCGCTTTAATATTCTCGAGTTCCTATTTCAAGAGTCTCGGAATAATTCGATTCAGAAAAATTGCGTTTATTAAATTTTCTAAAAGAAACAAATGGAGAACAAATAATTCTGGAGAAACAAATAACGACGGAAATAGTTTCTTCGTCATCGGTGGTAGGCGAGCGAGAGCCCACTTGCGAGATACAAGAAGAAGAATAGCCGTAGCAGCTAGATAAATGGCGACGTATCTTGTGCTTCGGTTCTGAGCACCGTTGCTGGTATCGAATAGCTGGCGGTCGTTGTTTGCGCGAGATAAACGAAAATAGAAGAAGCATTGTGCGATTATCGAGCGCAGCAATAATTAATTCCGCGCAATCGGTCGCGATTTTTGCCCCTGGACTCTGCGTCGACCGACGACAGCGCCACCGCGCTCGAAACTTATAATGGCGGCCGTCGAACTTTCAGCTGATTCGATCGAGTACGATATCAAACAGTTTATTAAAATCGCGTTGTTGAAACACAATGCATTCTTTATCGAGGTTACCCTGCATGCTTTCTAGAGCAAAAGGATGTAGAAATTTTCCCAATTACGATAAAAGAGTTATCGAGATAGTCGTCGTGCGTAATGCATATATGTATGCTGCGCGTTGAAGACTAAATTTATTAATATTACGAAGGTCTCGTTCTTTCTTTTGGCAATACGTGTCTAACAAACCACGCGAAACTTTCGGAAAGAGAAAAATTTTCTTCGCGCGAAGGAATATTAGCGTCGAAGAACAAAGTTGAACGAATGCTTTTATTTTGGAGGACACACCCCGTACTACGGAGCCCCGATATTTTTATTGCAGTTAGGGAACTGGACGGAGGAGCACGGAGAGATAGCTAGAGTTCCACTTAAGAGTTCCAGGTTTAAAGAACACTCGAGGCATCCGGGATGCACACGGTCTGAGAAACGTTTCTTTCTGCGATTGGACCCAGACACGCGGCTGTTTCGAAGCCATGGGAAAGGGGATAAAAATCTATTGTGCGCATCGAGCGTCTCATTGTACCGTCGTGTCTGCGCTTTGTTTCGCGGCTGTGCTCTTCTCATCTTTATTTTTCACCAATGGGACGTGCTTAGGGGGGGCCAGAACAACTTTTTCTGCGGTTAGGCACGGTTGCCAGCGTGCTGCAGACATTTTTTATTGCTTCGATTCCCCATCGAGCGTATCATTAATTTATAATACAACGAATAATAAAATAACAGTAAATTTGTATCACATTGTTTTACGCTAAAGCGTTCAATATGGTTATTATAATTCAAGGCAATTTTTTTTTTCTGTTTAGAGCTTGCTGACCCCCAGGAGGACAACACTAATCCATTACAACTTGTGAGTAAATTTGATAGAATGATTTGACGAAACAATGTTTTTGGAGACACGTTTTCAGATATCCATAGTTTGTAAAGGCCATCAGCGACCAAGTTTCCAAGATCCACGGGTGGAAATAAATGTGTCGATGTGGCACGCGTTTCACAATTTTTACGACTCTCTACACGAAAGTTTCTTTATTCGCAACGGTCCGTATTCCTCGAGGTGATGCTTCAAAAGCTCGTCGGTGAAAGAACCGCTTTCCAAATACGCCGAATAGGCGAACGAGCTCTCGCGCGTTTAGGAGGATCCGGCGAGGAGGGATGAGCGAAATCTAGATCATAGATCTCCAAATTATGGGTCGTTTTAAATATTAATATCGACTTTCCTAAATACGAATTTCATTTGAAGGTAGTAAATCTCCCTCTGTCTTCTAAAATATGTATTAGGAGGAAGTGTGTCGCGAAAAATTACCATTTTCGAAAGCGGGTCTCGAAAGTTCGTGTTTTGAGAGTCAGAATTTGTAATATTTGTGAAATTTCTGAAATTCTACTTTATTCGGTCGACTATTATTCCGATAAAATTTTGTTCGACACTGTCAGTGAAATCTGCAGACGTTGTTGTCACTGACGATGAGTAATTCAATCTTTCTTGAGTACGAACATCGACGAGGACTTTGTACGTGTCGATAAGACGACGCTCGATTTAGAAATAAAGACATCCGAATGAAATCGAATCGAAGCACACGGTCGTTAGAGCGAGATATTGTTTACTACGTTTACTGTATAACTTTTCAGTAGGGAAACGAGAATTTATTAAATTGAATAAGTGAAATGTTTAAGACGACAAAAGAAAATGTTTTTCCACGGTTGTGAAACTTCGATAAATGTATTAGTATGAAAAGAAATGTTTGAGTTATCTCATTTTATTACATTAAACATTTTCGTTTACGCCCCTCGTAAATTCTAAGATACCCCCTTCCATTTTAGGGGTCGTGCTCCCCATTTTGGATAATACTGGTTCAGAGTTTATGAGGTCGACAGAATTCCCCAATGACCAAACTTTCCCCTACCTAATGTGCGTTCAACAATAAGACACATTGAAAAGATTTCAAGCCCTCCCGACCCTTTCTTAACTTGACGAGCTGATAAGCAGTTATGTCTCTAGGGTCAGGAGAGGTTGAGGGTCTCTACCAATGCTTCATCTTCATAAAACTTAAGCTGCATCTCAGATATACACACTTTAAAAAAATATAAAAAGAATTCATCATAAAATTAGCCACCAAAAATGTAGATAATAGGCACAGAACGTAAAGATGACGCAGGTTTGTAGAGTTAAGAAAAGTCAGCTGATATCTGATGCAAAACTACTGAAAAAAATCAAATTCCTCGCGTTCCTCGTCCAGGGTTAATTGCCCCCCGATCAATAATTCATTACCCGTTGCTCGTTGGGGAGATGAATATCGTTTTCCTGTTTATCTTCGCCGGAGATCTGCTTTCGTTTCTCGTTCCGATGTTTCTTCCTCTCGAGTTTTTGTCCAGGGCGGAAAAGCGTTAATTCCTTCGGTTTCTGGCGTTGATTGCCTCGTAACTGTGGCCAAGGCGTGGAACGGGACTAGACACGTAAGATCGTAGGGTTACGAGGGAAAGTTGCTAGCATCACCTACGTGTGTCGGCTTCGCGCATTCTAGCTCTCAAAGTGAAAGACGCCTGGCGTTAAAAACGCCACGCCAACGAACAAACGGCGCGTGAATTGGGCGTTCGTTGCCTCTTCGCGTTCTTTCTCCCCTCAGTGATGGGCTCGAGTCACGTGAAACGACTTAAATTACACAGAATGTTTCAAACGATAAGAAAACCAAACGAAACAAACTCTTCGTGTCAAGACGAATCGAAAAGCCCTTTATCACTTTGCGATCGGAGGCTTAGTTCTCGAGATACAAGCAGTCAAAGTTTACACATTCTAGGAACGCGCCATTTGTATTCCAGTCAGCTGATCGCGCGGCGCATGCGCACGAATCTCTTCCTATTCTGCTTGTATCTCGGAAACGGAGCCTTGGATCGAAAAATGGCACAGGACTTTTCGATTTAATTTTGCGCAAGAAATACATATGTTCCTGTTTGTTTCATCGTTTTGAAATATTGTGCATAATCTCGTAGTTTCACCGGTCAGTCGAAACATAAAAATTGTAACTGTTATTATGCATAGTTTCTCTTTTTCACACTTTGTCGTATCGATTCGCTCATAAAATCTAAAACGGAGTTCGCGAAGTCGTCGGGGATCGAGAGGGCAATATTTATGGTCGTCGTCCACGGATTATCTTTCGTCGGTGTTTCCGTGTTTCAAGTTTCGTTCGAGCAACAGGAAAATCTGCCATGCAAACGGCACCGGAGAAATGTACTCTCGGCTTTAAGTTTATTTGAACGGGGGAGAACGAGTTCCGCGGCGGGGCGCAGTTTCCATTCTTAAAGAAGTTCCCAAGTTATCGCATTAATTCCCGAGGGAAGTTGAAGAAACGCCCGGCGTACCTTGGGCCGGGATGGGTAACAAGAAAAATTCGTAATAAGAACCGGGGAATTTCAGGACCATCGCGCGCTCCACGAGAATACGACTTTATCTGTAGTTTTAATGCATAGCTCCGCGTATTTCACTCGATATCGCTTCGCCTTAGGTGTCTTTGATTGATTTAAAAACTCTATCGGTCGGTCTCGAAGTCCTACGGGCTACGGACGCGACTCTGTTATTTCCTTTTCAGCCGAAGCTGGAAGAAAGTCGGTCAACTTATCGTAAAAGAAATTCAAACGACGCTGGATACATTTTCCACCCCCCTCGTACACACAATTTAATTTCTTTTCTCAGTGTTGATTTAATATTTAACCAAGGGTTGCTCGTTTTCAAATTAGCTAAATCAAAATTGACAGCAGCCATTAAATGTGCTCTGTAGTTATTTTTGATTTTATATAGCTAGTTTAAAAATAGGAAAATGAAATATTAAATCTGGAATTTCCATAGCAGCAGAAACTGTATGCTGGGAACGCCAAAGGAACCGAGAGAGAAGTTCTTGCGTTTCCTGCTATGCAAATGAATTCATCGAATCGCGCGAAATGTCAGTCAATTACGCGTCGAAGGTCGCCGCGTTCCACGAGACCGTGCCACGAATGGAGGTTATGTTTTCCGATCTGTTTCTTCGGTTTATCACTGCACATAAACAGGAAAAATTTCATGCAAAAGATAGACGACGGATAAAGCCATTCCATAGCAATTTATTCTCAATGTTTCTTCCTGCAAAACAGTTGTCGACAGAAACCAGAAAAATTTTTCATTAACGGTTCTAATTTGCAAATAAAATATAACCAAACCTTAGCTCACAAATGAATCTGAAGTTTGTTTTAACATTTACCTGACTTTGACAGGCAGTGCCTCTATGTCGATGGCGCAAGTTCCACGGAACGACGCGGATAGGTCATAATTAATAGCAACTCGGGGAGGAAAATTTTTTGCAACCCGAGAGGCAAAACTTGTAGCCAACCGAGGAACGTTTCTGCGCCACGGAGATGGATGGACCAGCATTTCGAAGATATTTCTCACGATGGGCGTTCCTCCCGGTATTACAAACGAGAGAAACGGTATATGAAACGCATTCTGTAAGGCTGGAACCAGCCGGGACAGCTACGGTCGATTTGTACTGGTTCCTGCGTCAGTACGCCGGCCGATCGGGCGAGAGTGTGTTCGTGTTATGCCTTTACCGGTCCTAAACGAGGTCGACCAGCTCCGACCATAACCACACCTCCTTTTACTAGAGCCAAGAGACTCCCGCGGACGTGTATTTTATCCCGCCGATGCCGTGCGAGATTCGACCATGGATACGAGCCCGACAAAAGCGTCTCGAGCGCCAGAATTTCACAGCTGCGCGTCGAACGGAAAAGCAAACGACGCACCGATGGCACGGAATCAAAAAAAAGCATGATTTTTAAAGAGAATCGTTAAACCAAACGCTCCGTACTTTTCCATTTTATCGGCTCCCTCGGCAAGTTCGCTTGGAATTTTTATGAGATGATGTAATATTGATCGTAAATTATCAGTGGCGGACACCAGAGGGATGAGGGCTCAGGCTTCAGGTTCCATCATTGACCGAAAGATTTATTATCCAAATGTTAATCCCTTCTGTATTCATCGAACACTTTAATTTATAGGGGTTGGAAATCTCGAATTTTAATATCTCTATTTCCAGTTAGAATTTATACAGTAATTCTTGGATTCGCGAAATCTCGGAATTTTTGCACAAACTTGGGTCCCCCTCTAGATCCAACGCTGATTATCACGCGTCTCCCGTGGAGCGTGCGCGCCATTTTAATTGGACAGCCGACGAAGACGAAAATTGACAGGGAAGCAATGGCTCCGAACGACTTTCAATCTGTCGTTACGAGATGAGATTATCACGAAGAAAGTGTCCAACTTCGACCCGTCGTCGATCGTCTGACGTTCTCTTCCGAGACTGAAACTCTCGCATTAGATCCTTATTCAGAGACGCGAATTCGCCGAGTAAATTCGTTGGAAGTTCGTTGATCCGAATTGACGTAAGCGAATGTTATCACAAACGCATAATCTCACGAGTTCCTTTTTCTGTGCGCCACGGGGAGCGTGCACGTTAGAGCTCTTGACATAACCGGTTTTTTTGGATGTGTATAGCTCGACGACTTAGGTAACCGAGGGAGTGGTCTGGGTTAGGGGAATGAATACATTTAGGTGTCTCCGACCGAAAATTAATAGTCGGATCCCTCAGCTTCCAAAGTTAACCCTCTCATCTCTCATCTGGATAAAAATTTTTCAAACTATAACCATCGAATGGTTCTATTATCTGAATAAAATGTTGCACATCTCTGCCCCAAGATGGCTTCTTCCGTATACAAACGATACCAGAATAGACAGTACTTAAACTGTTTGCTTAAATTTGAAAAGGTGAAAGTATACTTAGAATTTTTCAGCACGTGTGATGAATCGTTCTCCGCCGGGATATTTTCCAA